AAACGTCTGCCGATCTGCAGAGCCGACCCAATTGCCTGTGCGATGCTTCTGCTGGCTTCCCCCGTATAGGAATATACAACTATACTAATTCACAGGTAGTCTTTCGGTCTATGAGATGCCGCTGTCGTAATATATCTGTGAAAGGCGTCTCCCAAGGTCCAGGGGGGGGGGGGGGGGGGAAGGCGACTTTGCTGGGTCAGGAACCGGACCAGGTTTCAGGATCTCGGTCTATCAAAGGAAGAGCTGGACAATCTCTGGATCGAGGCAAAAAAGTATTTATATCTATCCTCCGAGGACTGGCGAGTTGCGTTGTTGAATCAATCCCCCCTTAGCGCTGGGTGGATCAGATCTCTCGCCCTCGCTTTTCGCCTGTGTTATGATTCTTTTTCTTTTTTGCAATCAATGCCCGTTCCCACCTGGCTTCGTTTCTTTTCTTTTTCTCTCTCTGAATTCTTTCTTGTTAAACAGGCGATGGTGAAGGTCGAGAAGAGAGAAAGAGGTACCCCCCCTGAAGGCCCTGGCCTGCGGGTTTGCTGTCATCCATTGTATTCCTTTATATAGACACGCACACAGCGCGAGACGGAGTCGAAATGGCTCGTCTAGCAGGGTTTGCGCAGGCGAGACTGGTGACATGTCACCTTGGGTGCGTGTAGGGCCGTCGAGGATCTGCTTTTCAGACGGCCAGCGAGCCTGTCTGTCCTCTGTGCGATGGCACGTCGTCGCTGTAGCTGTTTGCTGTTGTATGTAGCCGTGCAGGTATGTATGTTATGTAGATGGTGATAGATAGTCGGCCTGTGTTTAAGCCAGAGCCGCCGGGAGCAGAAGCAACGAGGCCGTTTGTTTGCCTGCCGCCCATCAAAGAAAAGCCCTAGACCGTAGGAAGAAGACGAAGACGAAGAAGCAAAGAAGCAAAGAAGCACAAGAGAGAGGTTGAGCTGCGCGCTGTAAGAAAAAAAAAGTGCTGGCTGCGGTTCCACCACCAGAAAAACAACCTCCTCGTTCTTTTTCTTCCTCCCCGTCGCCGTCTGCCTTTTCTTCTTCTCGCTGCAGCATCTCCTCTTTGCATCTGCTCTCCGTCTGCCTCTGCGCCCTCGACCTGCCCGTCCTCGCTGCCGCCGGCCTCGTATACTCTCGACTAGCCTCGGACGCTCTCCTGGACGGCGTCTCGCCCCCTGACTGAGCCTGCTCCGCCGCCGCTGCTACTGCTGCTGCTGCTTGCAACAACCGCTCCGACTGTGTCACTCCCTCTCGCCCTTCCGGCGCTGCAGACATCCCATTCCAATGCAGAACCCGTCATGTCGCTCAATGGGTTAGATGATCCCTCTATCATCGAGTCTTACCAGAGTGCGCTCGCTGAGGCCGGAGGATGGTGAGTTCTGCTTGTCCCCAGTCCTGCTGCAATTGAGTTGGGCGCTGCAACCATGGTTCCTCTCCATCTTATTATTAAAAGACGTCCATACAACGGGCTCTATGCCCTTACCAACGCATGCAGACAACCCAATAGCCATTCATCTATCTGCCTGCCGCTTGCTGACTCGCTGGCTCCAGGTTCCTGCTGAAATACGTTTCGCGAGATGTCGTTGCTTTGCTGCACAAGGGAACCGGGGGCGTCGTGGAGATTCGCTCGACCATAACCGCCTACGAGGATAAATCGCCGCTGTATGGCTTCCTACAGTATCGCCGGAGAAAGATCATACTCAGATACGTGCCTGAAGGAATCTCGAGGCTCATCCAAGGTATTTTCTTTCAATCTTCGCCGTCTTTTTCGTGGCTTCTTTTTAGTATCGGTTTCGATGAAGTTATACCCGGCTTCGTCCTGCTCAACCAACCGCATTTTATGAAGCCCTTACCTGCATGATAATGCTGACTCTGCGTCGATAGCTCGAATCACTGTCCAATTCCAGTCGATTCTCGACCGGTTCTCGCCTCACGATACCGTCTTTTCACTTACAACCCCGTCTGAACTCACCGAAAATGCGCTCTCATCCACCTGCATGCTGCACACCGCATCTGGCTCCATGACCTCTTCGACCAGCTCGCTGCGACAACGACGACTTGGAGAAATCACCGAAGATGCAGAGGAGAACGGACCAGACGAAGAAGAGCGCATCAAGCGGGCTCCAACCTCGTCCAGCCATAGTAGAGCAGGAAGCGTCTTCAGCGGAACTTCAGAGGCCACCGCTGTGCCTAGCCATAGTATGTTGCGAGACAGACCTTCAAAGGGCCTGCCAGACGGTGTCATGCTGGCTCCAGAGGCATTCTCGCACAAAGCACTGCCCTCAGCCCCCGCTTTGAGCAGTCCAACTCGCGCAAATGGCATTCCTCAGCAGCACCTTCTGGACCAGCTATCTCAGCCGCTTCCCGAATCACGAACTTCCTCTCAGTCAGTCAGGCCGTCTCTCCACGAGCTGGATCAAATCACCATTCGGAGACCCAAAGTACGACTTGGCCCGCGACCATCTCTGGATGCCAGCGGACGGCCCAAGACTGCGGGCTCCATGACTCGCTCCTATGAACCTCGGCCGGTTGCTTCGCTTCCTGCGGGAATGCGGTCAAGGAAGCAATCTACATCGCGGCCCAAATCACAGCCAGACTATGAGCAGCCAGGAGCCCAGACTCAGGGGACAGTACCTCCTGTGCCTCCTCTCCTGGTCCCGCCGCCAGTGTTAATCGGATCTTTCTCGAGAAACGCGCCCTCGTCTCCCAGATCGATCAGAAGCTGTGCGACAACCATCGGAATGACGCCGGAAAAACAGCGTCTAATGCGGGCCCTAGAACTACGCAAACAGCAAATGGCTCGACAGCCGAAGAAGGCTGAATCGAAGGCTGAACCGAAAACTCCAGAACATCTGCTAGATGCAAAGGGGCAAAGGAATGATGATGGGGAAATCTCTAGCAGAATTTCTCCTAGGGGAGGATCGGCATTTGTGGGCCCAACTATTGACAAGGATGCTGCTAATACACCACAAGCCAGAGAGACAGCTGTCGTCGAGAGCAGAAAAATTACAACATCGCCAGAACTGCGCGAGACTGTTGAAACACCTTCTTCCGAGGCGTCAACGCCTGATTCGGCTGTTGAGCTATCCCCGTCGCATCATTCAGTCGCTGTCGGGCAGAAGAAGGC